TATATAAACACAAAACTGGAAAAAAATTTGAACAGGTATAAAGATGACTTACAGTGAGTATAAAACTTACTCCCCCTTCTATTAATGATTATGTTACAGCAGTATATGTATATTTTCCTGGTGCAACTGTATATACATTAAAGGATGTGGTTGTACTTTTTTAACTACACCAGCAAAGATATTACTTTCATGTGTAGATAAGACTAAGTAAAGTAATAAGCAGAATTTTCAAGTTGTGTTTACACATAAATGAGTAAAAAAGGGTAGAACACTATAGCTCTTAATGAGGCAGCATATGTCCTCCAATTCTACTGAAAAAAAAAAGAAAAAGAAAAAGAGAACTAACTGTTCAAAGAACAACATGGGAAAACTTTTCATTTTCAGTTGCTTCTGAGGGACAAAGTACCTTCAGGTATCTGGAGAAACCTTTGTGACAGTATATTTTACCTTATGCCAGAAAGGGAATTGATGGGCAATGTCAATAGTGTATTTTCTAGTAATGAGATTATATAATCTGTTGTGTTTACAGATGCATTTTAAAAAATAAGTAATGTACTGGACTTTTATCTCAAGAAAAAAAATATATTTTAAGTGTCTGCCAAAGCTGAAAAGGTTTTTTCAGCATACTCAGTGATAGATTCAATGTTCCTTTATTGTAGACTTCAGCTCTTTGAAGAGAAACAAGTCAGCACCAATGTTAATCCAGATTGGTTTTCTCCTGGTTATAAAAAAAACTATGGAAATGGTATATGACTTCTCCAAATTTCTTCACTTCTATGTACTGTAACACAAAGCTCCCAGCTTGTGCCCAGGCAATCCACTGACCCACAGCCATGCTGGCTGAAGCAGGTGGTCAGACCTGAAGCTGCAAGGATTAAACAGTAAGGTTTACCCAGCCATGCCTAAGAGCAAATCAGGCAGGAGCTGTGAGCAACGAAGAGGAGTAAATGAGCTTGATTAGCAGTCAATATCAATGGCTTCTGAATCAATTGGACCCTCTTCTGTGCCACTTCAGGGATAGCAATACCTATGATGGGCATAGGATGAGAATGAATGATCATGTAATTCTCCTTCCACAAATAACAGTACAGTCTCCTTCTTTGAACAACTCCCAGTACATAGACAGAGCTAGGAAGAGCTGGTAGCTCTTGATGCTGCTCTTGGTGGGATTTCCAAGGTAATGACTCTCTGGAATCTCTCTTTTCTTCCCAGGAAGAGAAGCCATATACCACTCCCATGACTCAGACCAGGATTAACATCCATCTTTTATTCTCTGACTATACTGCCCCAAACAGAGCTTTTAAGAGTTCCTTTTAGTTAACACATGTATATCTAACAAGACTCCATAAGAATCAATATAAGTTTTTCATATAAATATGGGGTCTGCACATAGCAACAGGGAGAGAGAGAGAAGCAGAAGAAGAAAGGAAAGAAAGCCAGCAGGTCCAAACCCAAAACCAGAGACCTTGACTCCACAAAACTTAAGGACAGGTATAATTCTCCTCACTTTACTCATGAGAAAGTGAAGCTCTATCTCTCATGCACACTCTCTCATAGTCTTTCTTTCTCTTTTCCTGATGCTCTCAGACTTCTGTCTTTAATCAGTCATCCTGAGTTGCTTTAATTGGATAATCTTCCAGATTCTGGTGGGTGCCTTTTGTCAGAGGAATCCCACGGCATATAGCCTCTATTTGATGAAATTGAGAGTTGCTAAATTAACAAAGGACAAACCGAAGATGTGATTCATTGTTCATAGGAGAAACTATTTTTAAGGAACAAAATAGAGACCTGAAGGAGTTAATGGATGTTACAGCAGGACCCCTTTTGATCATCTACCAAAGGTCTTGGGAGTCTGGGTAGGTCCCTGCTGACTGGAAGCTAGCCAATGTTATTCCAATTTACAAGAAGGGCGTGAGGGAAGACTCAGGAAACTACAGACCTGTTAGTCTAACCTCAGTACCTGGAAAAATAATGGAGAAGATCATACTGGGTGCTACTGAAAGACATTTAAAGGACAATGCAATCATCAGGCACAGTCAACATGGGTTCACAAAGGAAAAGTCCTGTCTAACTCATTTGATATCCATCTACAATAAGGTCACCCTCCTAGTGGATGAAGGGAAGGAGGTGTATGTAGTTTTTCTGGATTTTAGTAAGGCTTTTGATGCTGCCTCTCACAGCATCCTTCTGGACAAGTTGTCCAACTGTAAAATCAACAGGTACACAGTGCGCTGCATGAAGAAATGGTGGAATGGCGGGACTCAAAGGGTTGTAGTGAATGGGGCTACATCTGGCTGGTGACTAGTCACCAGCGGTGTTCCTCAGGGCTCAATTCTAGGTCCAGTTCTGTTCAATATTTTTATAAATGTTCTAAATGCAGGAGTTGAGTGCACCATTAGCAAGTTTGATGATGATACTAAACTGGGAGGTGCTGTTGATTCTCTTGAGGGACGAGAGGCCTTGCAGAGGGATCTAGATAGATTGGAGCATTGGGCAATCATCAATCACATGAAATTTAACAAGAAAAAATGCTGGATTCTACACCTGGGAGGGAGTAACACTGGCACAAGTATAAATTGGGAGAGAACTGACTGGAGAGCAGCCCGACAGAAAGGAATGTGGGGGTGCTGGTCAACAGCAGGCTCAACATGAGTCAGCAGTGTGCCCTGGCAGCCAACAGGGCAAACCGCATCCTGGGGAGCATTAAACACAGAATAACCAGCTGCTCAGAAGAGGTGATTATCCGACTGTATTTAGCGTTGGTGCGACCTCACCTTGAGTACTGCGTGCAGTTCTGGGGCCCATGATTTAAAAAGGATGTTAAGGTACTCGAATGCATCCAGAGGAAGGCAACAAAGCTGGTGACAGGGCTGGAAGGCGTGTCCTATGAGGAGTGGCTAAGGACTCTGGGTGTGTCTAGTTTGGAGAAAAGGAGGCTGAGGGGTGACCTCATTGCTCTCTACAGCTTCCTGAGGAGGGGAAGTGGAGAGGGAGGTGCTGAGCTCTTCTCCCTGGTATCCAGTTACAGGACGCATGGGAATGGTTCAATGCTGCGCCAGGGGAGGTTTAGACTGGACATTAGGAAGTATTTCTTTACCGAGAGGGTGGTCAAACACTGGAACAGGCTTCCTAGAGAGGTGGTTGATGCCCC